TGGAAGGCTGCCACTGCCCTGGCTGTTGGCAATAGGGCTGAGGGGTTAGAAGCATGACTTTGTGGTGCTGACAACTGTGAAGCATGAGAAGAATGCAAAAACAAACCCATGATTTTTGTCCCATTAAAAACCACAAATTGTCCCAGTAAAAAAGCAGCTATTTCCAGACTTTTTCAGCCAAGATATCTGAAAGCTGTCATGGAAAAAGCCCTGACCTCCTCCAGAGCTGTATCTGTCTGCATCACACAGTTCCTCCCCTTCTGCTTGCAACATCAGTGCAACTGAGGCTTGCGCTACCATCCCCGTATGAGACCATCTCTGCAGCTCTGTGGGAGGCAGGATTTGCCTTTTTCCATTTCATTCATCTGACTTCTACCTCTAGAGTATCATGCACTCATTGCTAATGGTCACCCACATATTACTACAACTTCCCTAGCAAGCAGGCAGCAACATACTGTTGGACAGCAACATACTGAAAAGGGTTAAAATAAAAATGAACCCCCAAAAGGAAGAGAGAAACAAAGGAGAACAAACAAGCAAATTAAGGCTCCAAGATCTGGTGTTTTAAGAAAAATGACACTCTTGGGTGAAATTACATGTGTCTGCAAAACTGTCGAGGTGAGGTGGAATCTGTAGCTGGTATTGCATTAGGTGGATGCTGATTTGAGCACCAGCCCTTAAATTATAAGTAGCTCCTTTAATTTCACCATAGCAAAGATTATTCTAGTTATAAATGAGATCATAGACAGAGAGGAGCTGTAGTGTTTGTCACATATGTCTTACTAGTATGAGGCAGATCTCTGAAATAACATGGCCCAGAAGAAGAAAGATCCAAACAGTTGTTTCGATTTATTGTTCTTCTGCAGGCAAATGTACTAATAAGGTAGAAATGCATGAACTGAATGAACTACAGATAAATGCCATGTTAACACATCAGAGCAGAGTACTTGCCCCTATGTCTAGGTTTTCTTGGGAACAAAACCAGCTGCAAACTAATCCATCAGTCAAACTCACTTTAATGCTCTGTGTGCAGGCAGGGGTCTTTCCCTCTAAGCAGAAGGATAAGAGTCCCTTCTCTTATAAATCATGCCTCTCAGGAGCTCATGAAGGAGAACGGCATCACACTGCTGTTTTACAAATGGGGCTGTGAAGGCAGAGGGAGAACTGAGGGAATTTAGCCAGCTACAGATACTGGTGCAGTGTAAAGGAGTATGCGGCTTTATTCCAGTGGTTCTCTTGATCAACAAGGCTGCAAAAATGCCTGTAGCTTTTTGCCCGGCTGTTCAGCTTGCCCGCATGAGCTCAGCTGTTACCTGTCATGGGAGCCTACTTGCTGCTTTATGTTAAAAAAGAGAATAAAACACAACACTGTTTCAGAGAAATGTGCAGGAAATGCCTGTGAATTTCAGGGCTCACCCAAGTTGCAGTTGATCTAAAGCCCCTGTTTCTGGAGCCCCATGATTATGCCAGGCTCCCTGCTTGCAATGAAAGGAAAAGAGTGTGTTTGTTTTTTGAAATCACAGAGGAAAAGCTAAACACAGAAAGGTATAAGAAATCTTCTTTCAGGATGTTAATAAACACCACTGGTATGTTGCCTCATGGGAAAACCTTAGCAAAGCTAAGAAGTAAGTGGTAAAGAGCATAAAATCAGGAATACTGTTAGAAAAGTCACAAATATGGGTGCGTTTAGAAAACCCCTGTGATTCTTGCAGTGGCTAAGAGGTGACATGATTTTTTAACAACTCCTCTTGCTCTGCTGACCACACATCCAATGTAGGCCAGGATGCGGTTTACTCTGTTTTCAAAGCAAGTGCTTTGCCAGATCCTTTAGCTTGGCTTCTAGCATCACCCCCAGGGCCTTTCCACCTAGAACTACCTGTTGGCTGACAGCTTTCGAATGGTGTGAAAGCTAGTTCTCTTCTCTTACCCCTCTGCTGGGTATGGCTACCTCTTGACTTGCAGCCAACAGCTATCCAAGGAGCCCTCTGTCCATTGGCTTGGGTTCCAGCTCGCCATCTCATCAGCACTAAGTACCATCCAGGTCAAACCCTGCCCTGTGGGAATCACTGTGGAAGTCAGAGTGATGAGGGAGAGTACACCAACAAAGATTCCTGTGAAGAAGCAAAGCTTGTGCTTTGCAAACAAGGTGCTCTGATATATATGTGTGCTGACAGATGGTCTGACTTTGAAATACTCTCTCCAAATTCCATTAAGCCCTAGGAAGAGAGCGGGCAGCTAGCAGCCATGAGGAAGTAAGTGGTTTCTTATTAACCAGCCCCCACGCTTCCCAACCCCTGCTAACAGCAGCTGGTGGAGTGTCTTTTCCGGATGTCAGTTATCTGTCCATCTGGCAGGTACTTTTAAGCCTGCCAAGATGAGTATAAATAGAAGAGCTTTTAGGGGAAAAAATGGCAGACCTCCATTGCAGACCCTGTACGTGCTGTGGGGTCCTGGCGGCTCTTGCTTTAGAACTGATTTGCCATCGATGTTTTAGTACTGGCATGGGTGAGAACATTTTTTTTTCCCTGTAAATAAATAAGTAAATAAATGAATAAATAAAGTTTACTTTTTCTAAGAGACAATGATGAGGCTGCTGCTGATCTCATTTTTAAATGTTGTAAAGAATAAGGCTGGAAGCTGTGCAAAGGTTTCTCCTGATTCATTTTTTTTTCTTCAGAGAAATAAAGACTAATTCCATGGTGCCAGAACAGGGTTCGAGTGACTGAGTTGTTTGCATTTAGAGCCCCATAATGAAGTTTAAAGGAAACTGAATTTAGATTTTATGGGATTTGAACAACACTGCAAACAGAATCTCACTGTGCAACATTAACAGGAGAGAGGCACCCTGGAAGAGAGACTTCTAGGGCTCTTCTCTGCCCACATCTTTCAGCACATCATCTAGAAAAGCACCTTGTTTTCAGGTGTGCACCTTGTCTCCCACAGACAGGCTATGATATAAAAGTGTTCTTTCAGGGTGCAGACAGGATGTGATACTTCAGAAGGTGGTTGTGATCTAGACTACTCCTCTTCTCTACCGCTGTGCTCCTGAAGTACCACACAATTGAAAATTAGCCAATGTGATCTCAGAGACAACTCAGCCTGGATGATGCTGGTGTATCATACGAGCACAAGAACTGTTTCCTGGCGTATACTTAACCATGCTCCTACATTTAACTGTTGTTTCAGGCCAACCTAGTGCTCATGTGGAGAATAGGAATGAGGATGCTGTGTAAGAACAGGGTCCTCCAGGCACAAAGGTCTATCATGTTTCCATCCCTACTCACTGATTTGATAGATGCTGTGTCCTTTGGGAGGAGACCTGAGTGCTTCTCGAAGGAAATTATCCATGGATAGACACCTGAAACTACTAATAATAGGGGTTTATTTGTCTCTGTTGGTTAGAAAGGGAGTCTAGATGATCAATTCAGATGCAGGTGTGCTTGTTTAAAGGCTACGAAAATAAACCCTACCACTTCTGCCCCTGATCTTTGATCTCCAGGACGGTGAGAGTGGTGTACAGTGAATTCTCTACGATGTATGGCTATTCTTACTGTGGTGGCAGTTCCAGGGTGCAAAGCTAATCCTGTGGGATGAGATTTAGGTAAATTGGATGTGTATCCTTGTGATTTCTCTCAGTTGTGATGAAAATATTTGGCAGGCTAATTTGTGTTTTCTAAAATGGGCTTGTTGACAGCAAGTGCTAAAGACGTGTATATCCTACAACTTCTGAGTTTGTAAACTTCCACATCTTTCGATGCAATACAACTGTAAGATGTCCTATCTTTGTGATTGGTGTAAATCATGTCCATATCCTACAAAGCCTGAGGATTTTTGCAGAGCAAGTAATGGCGCAGGGTAGCGGTGTGATGTGTTTTCAACACTTGCAGTATTACGGAGCATCTTCTCATTTCATGAGAACAGGTAAATTAGCTGACCTGGTGCTCACCTTTAGTAATATATATATATATATATTTGCTTTATGTAGCTCATCTGTGGTGTTTTATTTATCCTCTTTCTGTACTTAATAGCCCTCATCTCCTCAGAGTTCCTGATACATACGCACCCCTCAAGACCTCACTGTGTTTATTAGGAGCTCCTTTTCTATGTGGGGTGCCCATGCAGCTGTTATGCTGCTGGGTGAAAAGAGAAATCCTTCAGTCAGAGAAGGCAAATCGGTGGCTTGTTTTCTTACTTTTCGTTTCATCTTCTGGAGGTTGAAGGCATTGCAGGGAGGGAGAGCGCTGGCTCTGCAGGCTGCTTGTGAATGCTGCCCGTGTCGGTGGGTGGCAGGAGGCCAGCTGGGTTGCCCTTTGGCAGCGTGGGACTGTAAGATGGATTGGACGGCATGCGGTCTCCATGCTCGAGTGCCCGGGGAGCTGGCTCGGAGGAGCCATGGGGCACGCTCCCAGGCACGCGCTCTCCTTCCATTGATTCAGCAAGCTGTTTTCTCCCGTCTGTCGGAGCTTGGCTGTGCAGCCCCTGCCAGGACAGGATGAATGAAACTCTGGTAATTACTACAGCATGACTTCACTAGAACCATATTGGTAGGGCTCATCAGCAGCTCATTAATTAAGTAGTTGCCATGGTGACGGTTGCCCTGGTAGCATGAAATCCTTTCTTCTCCTCTCCCCCTCCTCCTCTCCGCTTCACAGGGTTTCTCATTCATATTCTTGTGTTTTACATGAATGAAGCCAGAGGGGATCACGGGGCTAGGCAAGGAAGCACTTGAAGAAAAATGATGCCTGTTTCCCCACCATGCCTGTCCCCGTGTGGGTGTGAATGATCACTCAGCCCTGTCCCTGTGTTTGCTTTCCTCAGGTACACAAAGTCTGCCTCACATCCATCTATTTGTTTTCACTGGTTGCTTACAGCTCAAACCCCGAGCACCTGTGTTCCTCTGTGGTCCTGGGACCAGCTGCTCTGATTGCCAGCGGTGGAAGGGAAGGACAGGGCACTTCACTTGCAGCCCAACTGCAGAGGGTTGGCAGTCTTCCAGAGCTGAGCCTTTGCCCGTGTGGGTTTTCTGTGCTTGATTAAATCACAGTATTTCCAATGGCTCTGAAGCCAGAAAGGGCCATTAACTCTTCTAGGTTGGCCACCTGCATAGCACAGATCCCTGACTCCCACCCAATGCTTACTGCTTTGTGCGTGAAAGCTTCTGGATAAGCTGATTTCCTTGTCGAAGATGTCTCATCTTTGTACAAATATTGATAGTGATGGAAAACACTGTGCCTTGTGGCAATCTGTCCAGGTGTCTAAGCACCCCTCGCTGCTTAGAATCTGCCTCCCCAGCATGCATGGTGAGTCTTATTTGGCATTACTTTTCCTTTTCATGGTCTTTGCCTGTGGGTGCTTCCTCACAGCATCTAGCAGCTCCCTTCCTCACACAGAATTGGGATCCTTTCTAATCCCCATAGATGCAGATGGCTGGTTGATGATTTGTCCTGAGCTCATCATTCTGCCCACGTCTTGCTGTAGATATTCAGAGAAGAAATACATCCTCAGTGGATAGCAAGACGTGCCTGAATTCATTTTGTAAGAATGTTTCTCAAGTTCAAAGTAGTCAAAGTAATGACAGAGATGTGTTTCAGTACCCGAGAAAGTTTTCATAGCCCAAAACTGAGCGTCTGGTATGCAGGACTGTGAGGAAGTACAGTTTGCTGGGGCAGTGTCAGAGGAGCACACAGGGTCACAGAGCTCAGACTGACCTGCTGGAGGTAGTCACTGATGTGTGCTGTCCTTTGAGCCATGTTCTGTTATGTATTGTTAGGTAGTGTGGACAATCAGATTCTGGAGATCATCTTTTTCTATGGCTCTGTTTTATTTAGCAATCTGGACATTGCAAGTAGGGATAAAATTTAGCCCATGGGATGGATAATCTCTTGTCTGCCTGCTACTGGGCTTCACCCAATTTGTCTGAAGTGTCTGGCAATGGTGCTGCCCTGAAGGAGGTCACTGGAGCAGAAGGAGCCAGGGGCTGTGTAGCACTGAAAAACTACATCTTCCTCTATTGTCCCTACCCAGAAGTATGAAAAACTGTCAGGTCTATGGTGTTTTCTCCAGCCATGATACCTGCCCTTTTGGAGGTGCATGGAACTGTGAGAGTGCCATGGAAATGGGACACATGGCAAAGGACAGGACCTGCCTCCCTGGTAGCTCACAGTTGCCATGCGTTGGTGTTGCTGTAAAGCTTATTGAGCACAGAGCAGTTGGCTCTGCATTGGTGTTGCTGTAGAGCTTATTGAGCACAGATACAAGGACAAGCAGAGCCAGACCCATTGTATTCTGACCCCCAAATACTTTCAGCCTACCTGAGGGTAAAGGAAGAGGGACCCCAGCTGTCTCATTGCCTCTAAGTCACTGTGTGAGCCGTTAGGAAACGCTTGGCTCTGTGCAGAAAGGCTTCTTGTACTAGAGATGGGAAACCTGACACGGTTTTGGCCTGCCCCTCTGTGGGTTCTTACTTGATTTCTCACTGTGGTTTTCCTTCCGCTTGAGTTGTCTGCACTAATTTTGTAATAACAGTTAGCGCTGGGTTTCGTAACACAGACATACAACATGCAATTAGAAATTGCTTTGTGTGAAATAAAGTAGCTCTGAGTCATATTCAGACAAGTGAATTATCTGTGATTATTCAGCCAAGAAGGGAGACTGTGGTAAGCAGAGGAATGTGCACACCAAGGGCTACACATCATTATTAGCATTTCCATACTATTGGGAAGCATAAGGAGGAAAGCAAAGCCATACACCATGTGAGGGCTGGTCTTATTGGGATGTCTGTGTATAAACATCCATGTGATCAAGTCCCCATGGGGAGGAATGGGCGATCTTTCTCTGGGTGTCCAAAGGATGGGGCAGTGGCATTGCTAAGTCCATTTCCAAAAACCAGAACAAAACAAAAGGATACAGCATAGCTACAAGTATCTTTTAGAGTTCTAAAGTTGCGTGAAGCAAATTCTATATATGGGGAGTTAACCTAAGAGGAGCTAAGGCTTCTTTGAGGGAAGATAGGAGAGAAAATGCCAGGATTTCCAGCACTGCCCTTGTTTGATGTGCTTAGTGGATCAGTTCGTTTTCATCCTCTGGGAATGAAAGGTCACATTAGGAAGAGGCCCCTTGGCTCTGCAAAAAAAGCTGGGAAACCTTTTGGGGTGAAGAGTTGCCATCTCTGTGAAACACGGTGGTTTCTGCAGCAGCCTCCCAGTGTGTTTCTTGCCAGATAGGCAACTGAAGGGCTGTGACTATGGTGAGGGGAGCAGGGACTGGAGGGTGATTTGCATTGAGTGGCAGTTCATCATGGCAGCGCAGGGATAATGTGGGCAGGGAGTGTGCTGGCTGCCTCCTTCTCACAGTCGCACACTTAACATAGGAAGGGTGATTTCTTTTTGAAAGCTTACTGTGAAACTAGAGGTCCTTCTACAAGGCAAGAGCTGTGTACAGGGAGGGTCCTGACCGCACTTGCTGAAGAGCATCTTCACAGACCTCAGTGCCTCACTTCAGCTGCCCAAAGAAGTTTGTTTTCCATTCATTGCAAAGAATCTGTTGACCCTTCCTCAGCAAGTCACAAATGCCTCCATCTGTAAAATGACAGTGAGAAATGCTTAATCTTCCAAGATGAATCTAACAGATGCTTCTCCCAGGAAATGAACTAAAGGTTGCAGCTTTGCTTGAGGGATTGTGAGTCAGGTATGAGTCATTTCTCCCTTGAAGGGCATCTGGATGTGCTTTGCTGATAAACACACAAAGAGCACAAAGCGTGGGGTGAAAGGTTATCACAGGAAGGAGAGACTAAAAAAAAACCCACCCACAAAAAACCTCTGAGATACACCAGTGCACCCCGAACCCTCTTCTGTGGCCCACAGGATGCATTAGCTGGGGTTTTTAAAGATGTTGCTCCTACTGCATGCTAACTTGTAAAAGGCACACAGGAGCCTTCTGTTTGAATGGAATTTGGATATTTCTAGCCTATCTATTGTTTCTGGTGCTCGTTTGCCGCAGGTGCCTTGAGCCCAGGGAGCTGGGAGTTGTGCATAAAGTACAGCTTCAGCTGGTTTTCCACACTAAAATAAGGTGGTCTGAGTATAAATTAAAATCAGAGCCTCTGAGTGTGATAGCACAGAGCATTTGACACGCCGGTAATTGATCTGTGTGGAAAAAAGTCATTTGCAGGGAATAATGTGGTACTGGATGGCTTTCCAAAGTGACTGTAAACAAAGTCAGTGCAGAAATTGCTGACGAAAATTACCTGGCCTTGTGTTATGCAGCTCAGAATAAGGGACCATAGTGATTCTACTCAGCTTTAGGGAAATAAATCACAAAAAGAGGCACTGGACTATAAAGAATTAGGTGTAAAACTCGTTTCCAGGAATAGACCACAAGTGTTTTGAGACAATCCTATTAGCTCAATGGTAATCCCTGCTCCCATCGGACATCAGAAGTAGGAAAGCTGGCTGCAGCAGCAGCAAATTAGCATTAATTGTGCTTCATCTGATGGAGATAATCCTAGCCAAGTGCAGCCAGACACTGATTTTCATATATTGCTGTTCTGACCATTTGACTATCAAGCTGTTTCTTAGTGACGTATACTTATTCATGGCAAAGGGGCTGCAAAAAGCAGCCTAGCGTCCTGCCTTAGGAAGCCAGTGGAGCATGGCCTGGAGGAGAGCTCATGGCTTTTACCAGGCTGACACATACACCAGGGAGGGGGCAGACATGCTTGCCAGCACACAAGTCCATTCCCAGATTGGGAATGAAAGCTGCTCTTTCCAAGCAGAGGCAGGTCAGGAGCAATTACTCTAGGTTCAACATAATTATGCTAATCAATCAAGCAATTAGACGGATAAGGATGCAGGATGAAGAATTATCCATCCTTTTTTTGTGAAAAGAGAGAGGCTAGCAATTGACTTGGTTTGCAATGGGAGAAGAAGAGGTGGTGGGGAAGATTGAAATAAAAACCTCTGGTTGTGTCTAAGGCTTTAGATGTTGGGTGGGGGGTGTGATTTTTAGATTTTGGGCTCATCAAGAGCTTATACTTTGCCTTGTGGTAACATATGCGGTGGAGATGCTGTTTCTCCTGGCTGCTGCCTGCTCCAGGCTAATGCTGGTGGATGCATGGAGTATTAGTGTTGCTTCTAAGTATTTGTGTTCCAGGAGACCCAGTTTCTGTACCCAGGCTGAGAGAGAAAACTCCAGCATATATTCTGGGACCAGCCAATTTATAGGTTTGGGGGGTTTTTTGCATGAGTTTATAAAGCGGAGCTTTATTTCTCACTTTTGTCATCATAAGAACCAGGAGAATGTCAGGCTTGGATCATCTCATAGATCTCATAGCCAAACATGTTATGTGTACCCCTGGCCTGTGAAAACACAATACCCCCTGCACCAGCTATTCACAAACTGCCTTTCACCGTGGTTTTGTGCCTGGCATAGCTATGGGTTCAAAACTGTTCAGAGAATGACAGCCAGGCCAGAATGTGACCAGGGTTGGGAAGTTAGTCCTTGTATCCCTGTGCCATGGTGGAGATGAGAGATGCCAGCTTTTTGATGGTGTCAGATCTGCATAGCCAGTATGAAGGAATAGCACAGAGAAGAGAAGGTTCTGGCTCTATCATCTCTTCCAAAAATGTTTTTAACCTGAATGAGTCTGAACTTGAAGAGCTGAAGCACTTACTGTGTCCCTGAGAAGTAATTTTGACTATGCTGGTTACCCTGACATAGTTAGGGTACCTCTCTCAAGGCAAGAGAGAGCATATCCTTTCTAGAGCAATTGCTGTCACTGGATAAAGGACACAGTTTTGGTCCTTCCTCAGGCCTGAAATAGAAGCAGCAGACCTGAAGGTGAATCTGAGCTGCTCAGTACTGAATTAGGTGTGTACCAGAGAGGTCACCTCTGAAAGAAAAAGTGTTTGGTAGCTGTGAAATAGAGGAGGGACCAGAGAAGTGGAAGGTGGGAGGGTGGTGTCTCTGAAGGAAGAGAGGGTTCAGTGTGCCCTTCTTAGGAAGATGACATTAGTGGCTGCAGCTTTGCCTGCCTGGAAAGGCAAACCATCTGTAAGCCTGGCCTACAGGACAACCCGTTGGCCTGCTCTGTTTTCTCCTCCAGACCTTGCTGTCACAGCCCGGCTCTGAAAAACAGCAGCAGGGCAGGCTGGAAAACTTCCACAGAAATAGAAAAATCAAGATGTATTCTGCTCAAACAATGGCTTCCCAAGGCTGGTGATGTACCTCAAGATGGTGAATAATCAATCAACCTCCACAGATGAAGGGAGGAAACCAACAGAACTATCTGCTCTTCCTTCTGGCAGGCTCCAGTGCCTTGGGAGATGGCTCTGCTGGCTCTTTCAGTTTTCAAGACAGCTCCTTTCCCTGGGAATGACCAGCAAAGACAGGGTGGGAAGCCTGCCCTCTTCCTGCCCGGTTGTCTTGCCTGGCCACCAGCTTAGGTCTCTTGGCACAGGCACCCCACAATCCTTAGTCTGCGCTTAATTCTCAAAAGCCCAACTGCAAAAAAGCTGGAGGCTGGTTTTTGGAAGTTGGTCCAATGTGATGTCCATCTCCACTGCTCTATAGCAGCAAGACACATGAAATAGTTAATAAATAGACATCAAAATATCAGAAACATGAAACAGAAGAGATTTCTGGTTCAGTTCTTTCCTGTTGAACATTTGGTTTCCAGCATATGAAGATTGGAGAATGGTTCACTATAAATAGAGCTCCCTGCTTTAAACATACTAATTCTGTCCCAGGATGTCCCTAAGGTACCTAGCAAGATGTGCCAGGGAAGAGGTGGTTCTGTGCTTGCCCCATCACAGGCTCTGTATACACAGATGTACTCCTGGCTGCTATGAAAGCAGGGTGCTGGCAACATGGCACATTGGATGGCCCTTTTTGTTTAGGTGAATTAGGAGTCCTTTACCTAGTTCCTAGACAGAGGACATCACTGCGTCTGTCTTGTGAGTGCTAAGAGGGCAGATCGGGGAAAGCTAGCAGGGAGATCAGTTCCTCAAGGTTTTCTCCACAAATTGCCATTACTTTGGCATGGCCAGGGTCAAGCTACCATCAGTAGCATCCTTCTCTGACCAACCTCATGGCAGCAGTGCAACCGAGAGGAAAGAGGATTGCTCCCTGTGGGAGCTGCTGAGTGACAACTCAGGTGGAAGGGGGGATACAGCAGTTGTTCCTCACTACCCGTAGTGGCACAAGAAGGATATTGGATGTCAGTTCTCAGTGTGAGTGAATGCACAAAGCATTTTATTCCTTGTCTGCTTTCCAGGAAGTAATTGTTCTTCCTTCCTTTGCATGAGGCAAGTAGCACATTGCAGTTCCTGCAGCCAAACAAGTGGCTGAGCAGCAAAGAGGACCCGGGGCCTGCGCATCTGTTTTGCAGGAGATTGGGTCAGATCTGCAAGGCTGGGACTGGCTCATCTGCCTTCCTGGCTGATGACAGCTGACAGCTGTGGAAGACAGAGGGAGAGGGGGAGACAGGCTTGATGTGAAAAGGAAGGGAGCTGGGATTGCAAAACCGCACTGATGACGGTTTTGCTAGTAGAATTCCAATTCCAAATCTACATGTGATGAATTAAAACCTGAAATGGTGTTTAGCAAATGCGGCTTGCCAGGCCAAATTAGCAGCCTCATTTGTTGCTAGTAGCAGCTCTTTAGAACTCTTAAAGATGGGTTCCTTTTAAAATGTGGCATAAATAGGATGTTTTCTCAACAGTAGCATTTCCTCGCTTGAGCATCACAGTAATTTTTGTACCCTTTGGTCTCCCACAGCTGGTATACCAAAAGAAAATGACAGCACAAACCCCAGCCAAGCTCCTTGGAAATGTAAATAGGCCGGAACCACTGGTGTCCTCTTAACACAGCATCAATCACTGCTGGGTGCTGAAAATGGCAACACGTTCGTTACGGTCCAGGCAACCATCTCAGGCAGCAGATGGAGAAGGTTTAAGACCTAGTAGCACTGTTTCAGAGGTATGTATGCTTCTCTGCAGAAAATGGGGCACAGATGGGTTCTGCTTTGACCTGCTCACTCAGTAACTGCCAAATCCTTATGTTTTCAGACCAGCTCTGTAATTATCACAAGGCTCTGTGGCATCATTTGGAAACCCTGCATATACCCCTTACTCATGCTGGCTCTTACCTGAGCTTCCTGTGCACCTGCAGTGAAGTAGTAGACAGTAAAGCAAGGCAAGTCCTTAGCTTCTGGTGGGGTCTTCTCCAGAAAAATTGACCCATTTACCTTCTCCAAGCAGACTGTTTTTCCAAAAATAGTAGTCTTTGGAGGCTGTTGCTGCAGGTGAAGTGTTGCAGCTAGTGATATATCCATCAGCCACAAGAATCGAATTGAATCGGATCCATCCATACCGGGGGATTCCCAAGCCACAGAGACTTCTCCCAGAAGACAGGGGAACACTGGGGACCATGTTGGGCTGTCCATTGGAATGGTGGTGGTGTGAGATGCTTTGTTCGGGTGATGAAGTGTACGGTGGCTTTTAGCTGTAGTATCTTCTGACCAATGAATACTGGCTTTACCAACCAAAGAGTAAGATGGAGTATGCTGCTGGTTTCAAGGCAAAGGGAGCAATTCTTATGAGGAGGAAGGACTGTAGTAAAAACTGTGTTGTGCTCTGATTTGCCTTTCTTGATGGCTCCCATTAGGAAATGAGCATGGATGTGACTTCTTGGGTGTGCCATCTTTGTGGAGAAAAAGCAACGATCACTCATCAGTGGATAGACATACACGCGGCCTGTTTCAGATCTCTCTTGGCCAGGTCTACATGGCAAATACCTCACTGCATTGCTCTCTTGATCAGCGGGTAGGTAATATGTGATCCTGATGGACACAAGAGGCTAGAAGACAACTATTTGAAGGTTATATTGCAGCTGTAGTTATACCATATATATACCATATAGCAACACCGCTTTCGGAGCTTGTTTTATTTGAATAGCTCTAGGGATGAATTTTGGTCTGTGTTCAGGACAACACGCTGTTTCATTATCCTGACTGCCTCATGTAGGAGCATGCCAATTCTTGGATGTCCTTGTGGGATGTTTGTTTCTCAGCCAATTTCTGTTCCAAAGCTTGCTTTTTCCAAGAACACCAGGTGGTTACTGAGTCACTGCTTTTCAGGTTACTGTCTCTTCCATGCCATGGAGCAGCCAGGGGGATGTGATGCAGCTGCCCAGAGGAGCTGCTGAGGATTTGTAGTCACTGAAGGCTACTCTGTACTAGAGGAGATTAAAAGCTGTGGTGGTGGTAATGCAACTGAAGGATCAATCTAGCCTGAGTGGAACCACAGCTTGGAGCAGTGAAAGATCTCTTGCCAGTGTAGAAGGATATTTGAACCACCTCTGTCTTTTTAAGATGTTTATCATATGTTGCCTCCAGGGAGGGTGGTTGGGAGCTGTTTTACATTCTTTTCTCCTCATTTCTGGAGGAGGACCATTTCTGGAGCTGAGGGTCCACTTTCTAACTTAGGGAATAGTTTGACAAATCTTGACACCTGAAGTGTCACAGAATTCTTCTTTCCATAAGTATGTCCTACTGCTTCTCTCCATCTCCCTGAATCAAACCCGTATCTGGGGAGCTGATTCCCCTTAAAATAAAATGTTTTTTTTTTCTCTTTCCCTTCCTCGCCAGCAGTATCACTTCCCTGATCCTGCTCTGTGCCTGATCCAGCAAACTTGAGAGTTGATTCAATGAAAACGGTGCACAGGACCAGATGTTTCAGGGCTCTGGCCATCACTGTCAATAGAAGCCGTTAGTTGAGTCAGACCTTACATCCCAAAACATTACAAGATGATGAAACAAGTTGGATGGATGGAGGGGAAGATGCTGCCTCAACCATTGCCATGAAAATGAAGAAGGGTCATAGTGAAAGAGGGGCATACTTGTAGGATCTTCAACCTGTGCTTAGCCAAGGGTAGCAGTTGCTGTACGTTAGTGTGTGGCATCACATTAAAAGCTGGCTGTTGTGAGTCCCTTGAGGTTCTGGCGTGTCTTACAACCTACCTAGCATTGATAGCATGAGCACAGTGGGTGAATGCATCTTCTGCAAGAATGAATACGCTCTGTCTTCACTAAGAAACTGTCTCTGTCAGAATTTAGAGGAGATGAGGACATTCATCTGTGTTCAGGAATCCATCCCCACCATTCAGTCAGCAGAATGGAGTGTGACAACACTTTCAACAGGGAAACAAACACACATTTCATCATCTGGACACTCTGGGATGGTTGATGCACTCTCAGGTCAGAGCACTCTACCCCAGCAGCTGGCAAGAGCCACTGGTTTCTGTCACTCCATCTTTTTCCAGGTATTGCAACTAGCACAGCCATAAGCTCCATGTTAAGCCAGCTGAACCACAAGAGATCTCCCATGGTGTTGGGGCATTTCACAGCCTGTTGGCTGGGGCAGCAGACGGGCATCCTGATGAAGAGCTTCTCTCTGAGCAGGAAGACGTGAATAGGGGGATGCTCCTCTCCAGGCCTTATGTAGTAACATCTAGGGATTTATGTGTCATCTTCATTAACAACATTTTCCTCAGAGGACTGGGAATGGACAAGAACTCACTCACCTGCCACAAAAAGTTCTGCTGCTAAAATTATGTTTACTGTGGTTTATCTGAGGAAGCAACTCAGATGTTGTCCAGTGGATGGGTGAGAAATGTGGCTTTTCACATGTGGCAGAAATGGGTATTTGGGGTGGGTTTATCAATGAAACCTCATTGGCTTTAGGTATAATACCAATGCAATTGGTGGCAGAAGCAGGCTTACAGATTGAGGGTTAGAGGGCAACAGCTTGTCTGGGATCTGGTGCTTGGATGTTGAAAGAACTGAATTGAGAGAACTGAAGGCACAGTTTAGAGGCTGTGTCTTTCAAGGACCAGCCTAGAACTCCCAGAACATGACATTTCCATTGAAGGTGGCACATGTGTTCCAGGGAGAGCATGGCTATTAAGGTGGTGTTGATACCCAACCCAAGCTGCTTCTTATCCGTCTATGGCATGAGAGCACTTTGCTGTGGAGCAAACCTCCCTGGCATTTGCTGGTCATGCAGGAAGCATCAGTCCCTCGTGTGTCACACAGAGCTATGTCAGATTTCCCTGCCAGAAGGGCTAATCCATTCTTCTGCTTGGCTACCTGATGCCCTTCTACCATGGCTTTACCCATGGTAGTGCCTGAGCTGGATCTGATGCAGATATACACTCTGTCCCTGTCCTCCTCAACACCTGTGTGCCAGCCAAGGGTGGCTACTGCAGCTGGGCAGCTGCTGGCCCACTGGCAGATGATTCCCTCAGAGCTCCTCTCTTGGAGCTCAGTATAGCTTTCCCAGACACAGGGTGGGAGCCAGGCAGGAGTGAGAGCTTGGATGTAGATACAATGAGTTGTAAAGGATGTGAAACAAGCCGCACTGTTTACTTTCTGCCCAGGGTGGACAATACACCTTCTAACCTTCACCTTCCCACGCAGTGCCCCTGTCAGGGCTATTGTATTTATTACTGCTATTTTTGCTCTGTTGTTAGAAGACATGATTTCATTGTAGTTATTTTTAATCTGTGAGCTCCGGAGCTTTAGGATGCTACCTGCCAACCTTCTGTTTCAATTAAAATCACACCTTTTTCATGGTATCGTTTGTATCACAGTGACAGGCGCGCTCCTGAATACAACAATGGTGCATTATGCAGACTTTGACTTCTCAGCTGATGGGAGATAAAATCATAAAGAGGAGTAGGTGAATCATCTGCTCTGAAGCACTGATGAATACACACAAGGCTGTCAGATCACTGCTCTGTGTGGTACGAGGCGTGAGTGCAGAAAAGGGAACAATAAGAGATTCAGACAAATCCAGGAAAGCAAAATGACCGTACGTGCTGGTAGGAGGGTATCTTTTCCCATTCTCACGCTGGTCTCCCCTGCCAGAACTGGAGCATTATGGTAGTACATGCACCCTCTCTTGTGGTGGATCCAGTGAGAGAAGGGGGTTGATGTGGCAGGAAGATAAAGGCCCTCATCTCACCACATGGTCACTGTCACCCAGGTCATGCTCACTGCACCACAGAGTGGATGAATGCATGGAGAATAAAGGGTAGCTCAAGAGAGGACTCTGAAAAGGAGCTCCTGAGTACATCAAGGCACATACAGCTTGGGGGAGGCATCAAAATACCAGAACTCCATGTTAATTTTTAAAAGCACATAAAATTTTCCTTCTTTAAATATTATGGGGATAGTGAAGATTTTTCTCTTTCTCTCCCAACTTTTTCTCTTGCTTGTATCCCCTCAAAACCCAGGGAAATGTGTTTGCTTGGAGATCTCTTCTGATGTCAGAGAAATTGAGAGGGTGAAAAGATTTCTTGTTCTTTGTTTTGCTTCACTTGGAAGACCTGGAAAAGAGAAAAAGAAGTACTGCTTTGAATGTTCGGTTTTGTTCTGTCACTGTCCTTCAAGGTACGTCCTTCAAGCTGTGAGCAAGCTTTGTGAATTTTTACGGAGGAAACAGAGCATTCAGAAAACAAATCTACACTCTTCTGTATGCCAGATAATATCTCCAAGGCAGGAATCCTTGATAATATCAAGAACTTCTTTACCACTAAATTAGTGCCAAATCTGTTCAATGAAATGAGAAGTCCAGGAGGTGACCTGAACACGGTGCCTTCGTGTTTTGATAGAGATAAGACACCACATGCCAGAAGGCTACTTCACTTGGTAGGGTCCCATCAAAAAAGGACATTGAGAAATAGCTATGGCAAATAAAGTTTGTGTGCTATTTAACGGGGTGGGTGGTGAACCACTGGTGAGTGTGAAAGAGAGGGAGGCGTGTTTCTGGTCCAAATCAGCTCACCTGAGCTTTACGAAATTCCTATTACACAGTGTGAAGTAGGCTATTTTCAGGGAGACAAGGAACAACTATTGACTTAATGCTGGCATTGCATTTCACTGCATCGTGCCTGAAACACTTGCCGTGGAAGAAGGGTCTGCAAACCAGCATGGAGACTAAGCTGTTTTGTTTGTATGTGTATAAGTCAAACACTGTGAAGGAATTGGATGCACCAGGAGTTTTCCTGTCATTTGTAGCAGTGTAAAGACAATGGATGGGAGTGGTCATCCTCCAGATGTAAAAGATGCATAAAAAGTCATGAAGGTTTCCCTCACTCCATTGAAGTCAGCCCCAGAGCAACTGATGTAGTTTCCTTTAGTGTAGCCTGTGCTGTACAGAAAGCCATATTTCTGCTGGGTTACACAGTCTCTCAGTACCCTTCTCTGTAGCACTGGCTATCTATAGTAATTTCATAACTCACATTGATTGCAAAACTGCTATTCATATCCCATTAGATTTCAGGGGGATGATGGGAATGTGTGCAGCAGTAAGCAATGTATATTGTCATGGTTCACAAAACTCTTGTGACACCTGACAAGTGAGAGGAAATTGCATTTTTCCCCGTTGTAAAGCAGCTACAGAGATGGAAGGTATGAAATTAGTCACTTTTAACATACATTAATCAAGGAAAGGAACTCAAAAATACCCATGAAGAAAGACAGAGAGGCTGGGCCTACAGCCTGTTTTTTGCTGGTAACAAATGCTAAAGACAGCTCTTGTCAATGGCAGCAGAGGAAGTGGGTATGAGCCGTGGGCAAGAGATGGTTAGATAGCCAGTCTGGAAGAGACCATGCTCTCACGAAAGCAGCTAAGACCAAGAGGCTGATGAGGATTTCAGCACTGGGAAGAGCAGGAAGGGGACATTTGGAAACAACAGGTCTAATGGAGGCTTTCCTGAGCCACCTGGGGTTTTAGTCTTTGGTTGTTCCCAGTGGGAGAGGTACCACATGGAGACTGGAAGGGATACAGCTGGCTCTGCACCTTCTCTGCTCCGACACTGTCCCTGCAGGTGGGGCAGGTGACCAGTCTGCACAGTGTGTGTGTCCCCTGGCATTGTGGATCTGTAGGTGCCAGACTGCTGACAAACCTCCTTTGCTGCATCCTCCTCCCTTGCTAGCACTGCTGTGCTTTCCTCTGGGTAGCTGTGACACTGAGACACAGAAGTATTTTGCACATGTCACTGGTCTGGAAGAAGATGAAACAGGAAAGAGAAGCTTGTGTCTCCTTCCTCTGGGAAACTGGCTGGAAAATCCCAGGCTGGCCTGAGGTTTAGTGCCACTGGAGTGCTAGTAACTGTCTTGGGAGCACAGGAAGATGAGGTGATCCCAAGCCAGCATATAGACAACTGTAAGCACTGTCCTCCATGCACAGCCAGAAACCTGCTCTCTCCTGTAACTCTGCCTGCAGAATCACTGAGAGCTAACAAAAAAGCTACCTTCATCCTTGCAGCTTTTGTAAGTCACCCCGCACCCCAGCTTATAGTCGTGCTTGTTTTCTCCTGCATTCAAAGGTTGTGTGTTTGAG